GTCGTTGCTTCCGGTGCTTTTCTGCCCCGAGCTCCCAGTTCAGGGGCGCTGTGCAGCCAGGAGCCCCAGGTGGGGTGCGGGGCGCCCTGAGCCGGCCCAGGAAGCTTGTTTAAATTGTTCTGTTTCTGGGTAAGTGGGTGTCCTGCTCTGAGCTGTCCTTCCTGAGAAGATAAGTTCTTCTCAAGATCCTTTATGAAGTGCTCTCCCAAGTAAGGAGCATGCTCTGCACTCCAGACTCCAGGCATTTGGGGATGGGGGAGAGTCCTGAAAAAAGTTGTTTTGGTTTTATGGATTTTTTTTCCCGAAATTTTGAAGGATATATACATATATGTGTATATGTGTTTATGTAGGTGTATTTGTCTCCTCACTCACACACAGATAAGAGTGAAAAATCAACCAGCAGTAGCCCGTTAAATTTATCAAACAAGGAGGCCGTGTGACCGGGGCAGCGCTAAGACTGTGGTGACCAGTGTAAGCAAACAAAATCTAAGCCTGTCAGTGCCTCAGGTTACACAGTTGAAGCCCAAGGACAACCAGTCACAAGCAGCCAGCTAGCTTCGAGCTGTGGCCACTCAGTAGTGTCCTTCCTTTCCTTCTGCCTTTCTCTCTCCGGGTCTGTCCCCAGCTCCTGTCGGCAGAGTGTCTCTAACCACTTCCAGTTGGTGCTGCCTGATTCCAATAGATTTTTGCTCAAATAAACTCTTTAAATTTTTAATATGCCTCAGTTTATCTTTTAACAAGACCTTTGCAGCTGCCAAGAGTAATTTCATCACAGCTCTTATATCCTTCCCTTATGTCCACTGACACCTGCTGGATATGTATGAGGGACTCCGTGATGACATCTAAGACTGACATTCAAGCTTATTTCTTAAATGTCAGTTGCTTAATTGTTCTATGATCCTCAACCTAATCTAGGCACAACACTTAAAACATAGAATTGTGGGAGAAAGATTTGCAAGCTGCGAAGGGTAAATTAAAATGTTCTGCCTGAGAACTCTTTCTGTTGATGATACTCCCAGAAGGCTCACGCGTCCTAACTGAAGCCAATTCGAGCGGGTCTTCGGCTGCCACGCCGTGGACCACGAGGGGGGCGAGGGCGCTGGTGGGTGGATCTGGGTTTGTTCTGCCTGCAGCACCACTTCCTATAAGCTGCATTTCTAACACAAGTCAGTGCCAACCTGTCTACTGTTTATCTCTTCTCTGAGCTGTTAAGTAGAGTTTAAATATCCCATTGGTGATTGCTTGTAGCTTCGGGGTGTGTGGAATGAGTAGCATGACCTCCTGGAGAAGCAGGGAGTGGTGGTCGAAGTCATGGGCATGTTTGTGGTGTCCCTGCTGGAGACAGTGACGAGTGCATGGTCTTTACCTGTGACATCAGTGGCAGTGGTCATCCCATCCGTGATGCTTAAAGTGTGCTGTCTTCGGATCCCATTCCTTAGGGCATAGGCTCTGACGTGGCTCTCTAATGATGTTGAATTCACGCTGTTGTGTGCCCCAAAGTCAACTGAGCCTTAGAAATACCATGAGAGTATCTTTCAGACCTAAAAACCTAAGCTTAGTTACACAGGCTTTTATTTTTATTTTTTATATGTTACTATGTGTGAGTGTGTGGGGCGGGGGTGGGGGGGTATAAAAATAAGAAGTATAAAATCAATCACATTTAGTTTTGCTTTTAATCAATTCTCCTATTGCAAAGAATACAATTACATGAAATCAAGATAGGCCCAGAAAATTGAAGACCTCATATCTCTCTGAATTCTGACTTCTTTCTGAACCCCCAGTATGGATTTCGGCTCCATCTGGATGACCTTCAGGCGTCTCATATTCGGCACATCCCAGAGCAGATTCCTTGTCTTCGTTCTCAGACCCCCACCTGCACTCGTCCTCTTGGTCTCTGCTGTATGTCCCCAGCTTGGTCGTCCAGGTCTCCCTCCCCGCCCCTCGTAGCCAGTCAGCCACACTGTGTCCCATCGACTTGCTCCCTCCATGCCAGGGACCCTCCTCGGTTCAAGCCTTCATCATTTCTCCCAAGTGAATCCTATCCGGCTGCCTCCTCTGGCCCACAGGAAGTTCACAGTCTGGCGTGGCATTCGTGGTCTTTCCTCATTCGTTCTCCGACACTCGCCCATCCCCACCTCTGCTCACACGGTCCTTCACCTTCCACGCCAGCCTTCGCGTGGGCCGCCCTGCCTTCCCAGCCGAGCAGGTACTGGTTCACTGTTTAAGACAAAAATGTTGCCTCCTTTGGGTGTGTTCCCTGACTCCACCTCCTGAGTTAGCGCCCACAGGTGCCATCCAACCCTCTCTGACCCAGGGTTGTTATCTGCTGGTCTTTCTCCCTGGAGACTGTGATCTCACCCAGGGCACAGCTGTGTCTTAATCACATATTTCCAGCCATCAATCAGTCACGTGCCTGGTGACCAGTAGGGTCGCAGAGGTTTGCTGAATGAATGAATTGAACTTACGCCCTGGAATGTGGTGGCCGCGTGTTCTAAATGACTGAGGCACTTAGCCGCAGATGGGATGTCTGCATCAGCACGTGACTTGGGTAAATATTAGGGGGTCTACGTTTGCCCTTGAACGTGTGCAGTTTTGGGCCATTCGGTCTTTCTTCGAAGCTCTGTCCTGTCTGTACTCCTCCATGTGCATCACTGGTCTCTCACCTTCCTTCCACTCCACACACCTTCCCCCACTCCACACACACATAGATGAACACATGATTTTCTCTTTAGCGTATCTCCTTTATTAACAGCTTTCCCTGATGGCTGGCAGAATTTTGGTCATCGCAACCCAAATTCTCAGCCTCAACCCTTATTGTGCCTTCCCCCAGGGCTGGTGTCAGGACACCCCAGTTCTTATTCTTCTAAATGATGCCAAAGAGCTCTACTATTAAAGCAACGGGACCCACTCTCTTTAAAAATCTCACAATCACTACCACCCCTATCCCTGCCAGATAATCTCGTCTGCAGTGGATTTTGCCGAGGCAGTCTGGGCTGACCGCTCTGTGCTGCCCGTGCAGAAGACCCCGGGAAGCCAGCCCACGTGCAGACGAAACGACAAGAGCCCAGGCAGGGGCTGCACCGCTGGCTTCCTCCAGCCAGGCTGCAGTGCAGCCGAGCCCTGGGCCTTCGGCCTTGGGGTCAGGTGGGCCCAGCTCTGGGCCTTGGGGTCAGGTGGGCCGACCCTGGGCCGCGGGGTCAGGTGGGCCGACCCTGGGCCGCGGGGTCAGGTGGGAGTGCCCTCAGAGCAGCTCCCTTCCTCTGACAGTGCTACTTCCTCCAGGTGAGGTGAGGAGCAGGAACCCCTGGCACTCAGGAAAAACATGTGATAACCTGATGGCAAATCCTCCTGCACAATGAGGGCAGTGGAGTCATTGTGTGACACGATGATCGAGTCTGATAGATAAGGAGGTTTGGAGTTGGAATTCTCTTGAGGTGGAGAGCGGTAAACACAAAGCCCCTGTGAAAACTCCCCCTAGGCTGGGGAGTAGGTGCTTCTTAGAATCTGCTTTCTTCTATGCTCCATCATATACTTGTTTATTTTGTGTGCTAATTTTTAAAACTGTGGCACCAGCCCAGCCGGTGTGGCTCAGCAGTTGAGCATCAACCCAGGCACCAGGAGGTTGCTGGTTCGATTCCCAGTCAGGACACATGCCCAGGTTGTGGGCCTGATCCCCAGTGGGGGCGTGCAGGGGGCGGCCAGTCGATGTTCTCTCTCATCAATGTTTCTGTCTGTCTCCCCCTCTCACTTCCTCTCTCTCTAAAAATCAATCAAGAGAAAAAATAAGTTGAATAAATAAAATTGTGGCACCAGGTGTGGCTCTTCAGTGCAGATCATCCTATTACTCTGCCATTCTTGGGATACCTGGGAGATTTGGGAGAGCTTTGAGGTCCTTTTTTATAATAGAGCCTTGGAAGTCACTTAGGAAAAATTTATGTTTGAGAAGCTATGAGAAGCTAATTTTAACTATGCCTTTCTAACTAAATATTTAGAAGTTTATGTTTAATCATATGGTTAATTCAGTGCTATAATGTCCTTAATTTCATGCTTACTAGATCAATAACTGTTCAAACAAGACTGAATCTGCAGTTGGTTGGCCCCACCCATAACATCCACTGCTAAGAGCCCATCCCTTTATATAGCTTTGTTCAAAGCCCTCAACATTGATCATTCCAACAGCACCATGCCCACAAGCCACAGAAGTTCTAAATGAAGTCAGAGTGATAGAGTTGGAACTTCAAGGGGTTTGGGAGCCGAGGGAAGGAGCCCTGTGACAGTGAGTGGTGTGTGGTCACAAGGCACTGTGGAAATGAGGTCTGCATGCCAGAGCTGGTGGCCGGTGAGCCTCGGTCCCTCGTGACGGGGAGGCAGCGATTCACTTCTCTCCCTGCCGGAGGCTGGAGGGCTGGAGGGCTGGCTGCATTGGGTGCAACAGGGGAAGGAAAAGGAGCCAAGGAGTAAAAATGGTCCTGAGATTGAGGGGACACAGCTACTCATTGCCCCAACTTAGACTTGGACACGGTAATGTCTTCAGCAGGCTACCTTTGACTCCTTGAGATAGAGATCATCAGAAGAGAAAAAGATACATGTTTGGCCTTTCCTCATTCAGCCACTCCGCTCTAACTTCACTTTAACCCCCAGTGAAGGCGTTATTACATTATCTGCGTATCTGCACCAGCAGCCATGTAATCTAGAGATACAGGTATATAGACACACCGAGTCACGTTTTTAAATGAGGCAAAGAATCTTGGAAACAAGTGCCCATGAACTTTTCCCAAATTTAGAATTTTTTTTAACCTAAAGTTATGGAGACAGACTTGAAGGGAGACATCCCCAACCTTGCTCAAATGTAAGTACAAAAAAGGCACAAATTGGATGGATATTGATGATGTTATTTCTGCTGTGACATCATCCATAGACTCCTAGTGTCTTTGCTTTGCTTCCCTATAGTGATCACAACATAAATTACTTGTCTTGTTTGACTTCCTTGTTCACCAAAGTTGAGCAGATTGTGGCCGTTTTCAACGCTTCTACCAGACAAAAAGCTTGGGACCATTTCTCGAAAGCCCAGCGCAAGAACATAGACATTTGGCGAAAACATTCTGAGGTTGGTGATTTTATTATTACTTTTTAAACACCATCACACAGCTGGATTGGCAGAGAATAGTGTGGCTGCAGCCGTTACAGTTTCTGTTGCAGTGGGCAGTCATCTTGCCATTGTCCTGTCTCATTGTCACCTCCAAATCCAGCTCAGATGTGTTCCTTGCCCAGCAAAGCAGCTGACCTCACACTCTGAGGACAGAGTACTTCCCTCCCCGGCAAAGGGAGAGAAGAAGGATGTCTTCCATTCATAAGCAAAGAGCTCAGAAATAAACCGAGACGCTTTGCCTAATGATTATGAAGTAAAGTGCAACATAAAATAGAAAACCAGTTTTTAATAAATATGGAGTTTTTTTCACTGTTCTGCAATGTGATGAGGACAGTTTGTCGTTTGGGCTAGAAAAGGCAGGTATGCCTCTTGTCTGTGTTTTATCATCATGAGCAATCCCTGAGCCCCCTGTGCTGGCCAGTAGGTCCGATCACACCTGTCCCTGAGCAAACTCCCTCAGGGGAGCGATGGCCGGGCCAGCAGCCTGCCCTCTGCATCAGTGCGTGTGTGAAGGGTGAGTACTCACCCCAGGGAAAGAGTCCAGAACTTGACCTTCTTTGCCACCTAGAAGGGCCAGAATGTATCATTAGTCATTGGTCGTCCGGCTGTTGTTTTTAACCCCACAGTGTAGTGTACGCTTTGAACCTGTAATTTAAAAGTAAGTATACTGTCTTTGTTTGCTTCTTTTTTTTTTTTAAATGAGAGAATGTTTTTCATGTGGATGCCTTTCCATCGCTAGCATGTTGATATCCAAGTTCTCTAAATGACATTCCCCTCTTTCAAAATCCCAAACCTAGAGAAGGTAAGGTTTATTTATTTAATGATTTTGGCTCACACTTGTAAAATAAGTGTTTTATGTAGAGTTTGAAGAATGACACAGTACTGTGATATCAATCATTTGGGTAGCATTTTAAGTGCCCATTAACTAATGCTAACTTACAATTGAATACCAATGGCACTAGATATAATATCCACATGAATAGCAGATGAATCCTTTATTATCACTGTTATTACGGTGAATGCCGACTGACTTCACAATAATGGGACACTTAAAATGCTAGTGCAATTTATTGTTAAGAAGGACATTTTTTACTTTGTTCACAAATGCCTAAGAAGGTGGTTGGTGAGTGGTGCAGTTCGGTTCCTCTGCTCAGGATTATGAATGAGGAGGAGGTGGGATTTCTCTTGAAATTTTCAGGGGCCAGAGAAGCAAAGGATGCTTCCCCAGACACTGAATCGAGACCGGAGTCAAAGTTGATTATTTTCAGAAGGAAAGAAGCCTACTTTATGGTGAAATGTACAAATTGAGGGTTATGAAACACAAATCAGAATCCCTGAACTAGGACTCCATTTTAGGAATAATCTACGAATTGCTTCTTTTTTTCCTTCACGTAAAAACCAAACGTGATTAAAAGAAGTATTAAGAGAAAGACAAGTGGCATGATGCTGAATAGACCTGTGATTAAAAGGCTGTGTCATTCGTAGGTGAGTGTCAGCAAATACCAGTTACTGATTTAGGTCACACTTCCGGCCATGTCTGGTCCCCTCCTCCTAGGCTGTCCTCCCATCGCTGAGCAGGGCACGAGGTTCCAGCCTGTCCCAAGGAAGCCTGCTTGCTGTGCTCCCTCCGGGGGGTGGGGACAGACACAGTCCTGACAGGGCTCCTGGAAGGTCTTTCTGACTCCCTGCCACTCCCGCCACCTCTTTTGATAAACTAGGAAATAGAATTCGAAATTACCCTTGATTTTCTCTCCTACATGTCGCTTAATTGATTAAGTACCAGTTGGTAATTTAACATTGTGGATGATTTCTCAGTTGCATATAAGCTTGATAATTGGCTTGATTTTTTCCGCGTTCCCATGTACAGCATCTGTTAATTACCTGCAACACCTTTACAGATGTATTAGAGTGTACTAGTGATTTACTGCTGAACCAGAGGCACCCTGTGGAAACACCCTCCGCTTATTTTTTTTCCCTCCCATTTTTTTCCCTTTCTGCCGCCCTTCCCCACAACAACAGCTACTGTATGACAGTTTGTCATTAATTGTAGGGACTCAACAACAGGCTCTTTCAGCCTCATTTATTCTCTCCACCTGACTTTTCCTTGTTTTAAGTATTTTCAAGCCACTTCTTTGGGAATTGGGCTCTTTGTCAGAAAAATTAGCTGTCCACAATCTATAAACCTCACCACTAATCACGTGCGACATCTGCCCCCGATACCCACGGTGTTGTTTAAGGCAGGATTGGTACCTCTTCCTACGGAGTGGCGTGGTCCTGGGTCGTCAGCCTGCTGGCCGTTCAGGACTGCCCTGCAGTGGGTGTCCCTGTCCCAGGGACCTTGCCTCTCTGCCGACCCCTCTCCCATCCTCTGCAGTGGTCCAGACCTGACCATGCACATGCTGTCAGCAGTACATGCTTTCCATCCCGTCACGCTACAGTGGAAATCCGTGAGCGGAGCAGGGGAGGCAGCAGAGAGAAGCTGGAACAGAGTCATGTGTGCACATGGATTGCACGGGCCCTAGAACTATGCTCAAAGTCATGCCATTAATATGTTGTCATAATTTAGCTTTATTGTTACTCAAAAGTTTACTCATTATGAGATGAAGTTATTTTAACTATTTGACTTTTATTTAGTGACTTCAATTTAAATGAGGTAAAAAAAATAAAAGAAATGCAGCCCTTTTTCTGTTTTTTTTTTTTTTTGAGGATAATACATATAAGAGAAATACATAATAAGGATTCCCCAATACATAATATAGAGATTGACACAAATAGTAATATAATTATTTCACATAAATTATTACAGTGCCCTGATTTTCAGACACAGTTGTAAAGGACTTATGCTGTGATTCTTTGCTCTTGATGAGTTCTCACGTGCACGCGTGGTTCAGACAGCCCTTTTACTGCTATTCCCCCCGTGTGTGGGAGTTGAAAGAGGCTCAAAGACGTTAGATGCCTTGACTACAGCCACTCCTGGAGAACGTAAGACACGAGCCTACGATCTTAAAAGTGATGCTAAAACAACCATCACAACAAAAACAATAAACTCTGCACAATAATGTGAAACACCAGAAAAAGAAGGCATCTGATTTTATTTTGTCCTCCAACATTTAAAAAATGTTTACCATTTGGGTATCTGAATGGCGTGTGTGTGTGTGTGTGTGTGTGTGAGATCACACGTGGACAAGTGCTCACGTGCAGGGCACTATTTGCAGGAAGAATAATAGTGGTCTACGTTGTCAACTTGGAGAACCAAGTGCCTAGCATGAGGCTAAGTATCTTACATGCATTAACTTATTTTATTCTCACAATTATGATCATCACCATATTTCAGTGAGTAAATTGAGGCTGAGAGAGATGAAGAAACACTCCGAAGGCTCCCCAGCGGGTCGGTGGCAGACTGGGTCTTCCAGCGTTCCCTTGCTTGTGTTCCTGGTCCTGAGCTCTGAGCTCTGAGCTCTGAGCTCCTCGTAGGTGCCAGGCTCGCTGATGGTATTTCTGTGGCATCCTCACAACAGCCCTGCTAGGTGGATGTTATTACCTCCTTTTCTACAAGTGTGGGAATGGAGACTCGAGAGATTGAATAATTTGCTGAAGGGCCCTTGAGTAGTCATTGGCAAGCATGACTTGATCCCAAGTCTGATACCAGATCCCTGGCCTTCCCACACCCCCTCCCCTGGTCTTCTATACCCCTCAGAACTTTTTCCTAGACTAGGTGGGCAATGTTTGGGAGGGGAAAACTTCCGATTCTGAGTGCTCATGTGTCAGCCATAATACACTAAGAGACCGTTGGGAACAGTGACTGACGTTCCTGTGTTCTTACCTTTCAGGAGCTCCGGAACGCTCAGAGTGAGCAACTCATGGGCATCCGCCGCGAAGAAGAAATGGAAATGTCTGATGATGAGAACTGCGACAGCCCTACCAAAAAAATGAGAGTGGACGAATCAGGTAATGCTGATGACTGCCACATACCCGGGAGGTGTCCAAGGGCCTTCCTAATCCCGGGTAGGGCATATAGATTGGGAAATGACCGCATAACTCACGTTTATTTGAGTTATACTAAACTTTCATCTCTGAGTGACTCTGCCTTTTATTACTAGAACTTTACTTCTTAGGAACATAGTCATTTAAATTGTTCCAGTTGTTTCTTTATAAATAGTTCTGGGGCCATTATACTTTTTTCAGGGATATTTGCCTGTTCCCATAAAAATCCTTTTCTGAGCATGGTAGCCAACACTGACGCTGAGATATAGCTGCAATCTAGTTTCAGTCAGTGTGCTTCTAACGCACAAATTGTTTAATCCCTGAGGACGCTTTCTAGCCTCTGAGCCAGCGTGCGGGAGAGTTAGACTTTTACTGATAAACTTGAGTTCACTGAGCCTGCCATCGGAGGGTTGGCCCATTTTGTACCAAGAAAGGGGCATCACTCTTGAGTTTCAAAAAAGAGAGATGCTCAGAATGAACCCTGGTTCATGTACTCTGTCTCATCTGAGATGCTGATATAAAACTCTGGTGTTGAATGAGGTACCTGTAAGTCCCTTGGCCTGTGGGAGCCAGGGACATGCTCACTCAGACACAGGCGGCACCAAGGGGACTGCTTGTCCAGGGGAACAGTGTGGTGTAAAGGGCCTGGGAAGAACCACAGTTGCCACCATTGCTCAAAACACGAGGCATGACATAGATTTGATCTGCCTCCTCATAGGTACCAGTGAATAAAACTCACCTGTTCCAGGCTTTTTAACAGAAAGATTCAGGTGACCAGAAACAGAGGGCTTTGGCTCATTTGTTGATAGGTTGATAGAAGCCAAAATCAAGATTCAAAACGGCCAGGTCATCAAGGTTGCAGAGTGGACAGAACGCTCTGTTTCCAGGGCTTTAGGAGAGCAGACACGTGAGTGATGGTCGCAAGGAAAAGCCGCCGTGTCCGGGCATGTCAGAGGGAGTTCAGGCTCCTTGGAGCATAGCGTGGTCCTCAGTCCGGCAACATCAGCATCACCTAGGAACATACGAGAAACGTACATTCTCAGGCCTGGCTCACGACCTCGAGTCAGAAACCCTCTCGCGGGGAGGCCGAGGGGGCGCCAGCAGTCTGTGCTCCGAGCCGCAGGGAGTTGTGGCGCGTGCTCAGGTTTAGAACCTCTGCCTGGAACATGCCCCTTTCCTCCTCAAATCCCACTCATTCACATCTTTCAGAAGCGTGGCATCACGGAGGGACCACGCCCCTCTTGTCTGAAGCCGTGTGTCCTCGTCTGAACAACGAACCCGGCATTAATGGGTCGCTGTGTCTCCTGCTAACGTGACACCGATCTCTCAGCACTGCCTGATTTTGCTCACTGGAGGGAACCACCCTCCGCACAGCATCTCTGTTCTGCACGCCTTCATCTGTCAAGAGCAGAGAGCAAGTTTTGGTGTGATTTTCTTAAATTCGATATGAAATCTTCCCATAAAAATATACTTTTTTTTTTTTTTTCAAAAAAGCTTTCATCAGTTTTGAAGTTTCTAGATGAGAGGCAGTTTTACATGAAACTTGTATCCTTAGCATCCTTAATAAGGTAGGTGTAGGAGAAATGAATTGAGTTAATGAGAGCTTTTTATTTGAACCTGTGGCTTTTATGTTGACAAGGGAAGCGGTGACTTTTTTTTTTTAAACAACCTATTAATTTCCCAAGTAAGATGTGTATCATTTCATAGCCTGCTTAGACCAGGGCTCGGCCCCTGAGCTGTGCGGCAGGAGAATGCGCGGTGCTCGGGCCTCCCGCTCCGGGGCCATAGCATCCTGTGTGGAGGTCTGGCCACAGCCTTCCCAGCCCCCCCAGGCATCTGGTAAGAGCCTGAAGCAGGACCTGGACTTCAGAGCTTTCGCCAGGCTTGCTGCTTGGTCAGTAGGATTAACGAGCACAACACAGGGGCGTCCTGTGCTGATGCGGAGGGAGAGACGAAAGAATGGAGTGCAGATGCCGGGCCTCCAGCAGTTCAAGGTCGTTTTCGTGATTTCAAAGTGAGATGGCCCAGAGGACGTGGCGTGGGGTTTATGAGGAGAGCTCGGGACTGACTCGAGGGAGAGAGAAGGGCCTCATCTTATGGATTCCACTGGGCCCTGAAGCTCCTGCCAAAGGGGGGAGCTGTTCCCCTGTGTGCCTGCATGTTGGGGACACAGCCCGAGGGCAAGAACTCCCCTCTGGTCTTCTGACCGAGCCCAAGAGAGATCCCTCTGAACTGCTGCTGGATCAGGGATGGAGGGCGAGGCCCCCAACCTGAGGGTGTCCTTCAGGCGATCTCCTTAGGTGACAGCACGGATTCTAGGCGCAGATTTACATCTCTCAGGACCTGCCAATGGCCTCACAGAATGTCACTCTAGTTCACTGACGGGAATTGTCTAATGCTGGAAAGAAGTCACGTTCTCCATCTTTCAAATAATCCCTTGCCCTTTTCCTTTCTGCTGAAACAGGGAGAGTTGGCCTTGGAGCCCTGAGCAGTGCCTGCCCCAGGCATTCTTGGGAATCCCTGGAGAAATGTCCTCCTGGGAGCCCTGCCTGTGGGAGGACCGGGGCGCAGCCGCCCCGCAGGATGCTTGGTTCACCCGCGCGCTTTCTCCTTCACCGTCTCCCGGTACAGACGCCAGCCCGAGGGGAACTGGGGGAACGGGTTTCTAGAGAGGGCACGATGCATCGTGTGAGGACTAGAGAGGGCACGGTGCATCGTGTGAGGACTAGAGAGGGCACGGTGCATCGTGTGAGGACTAGAGAGGGCACGGTGCATCGTGTGAGGACTAGAGAGGGCACGGTGCATCGTGTGAGGACTAGAGAGGGCACGGTGCATCGTGTGAGGACTAGAGAGGGCACGATGCATCGTGTGAGGACTAGAGAGGGCACGGTGCATCGTGTGAGGACTAGAGAGGGCACGGTGCATCGTGTGAGGACTAGAGAGGGCACGATGCATCGTGTAAGGACTAGAGAGGGCACGATGCATCGTGTGAGGACTAGAGAGGGCACGGTGCATCGTGTGAGGACTAGAGAGGGCACGGTGCATCGTGTGAGGACTAGAGAGGGCACGGTGCATCGTGTGAGGACTAGAGAGGGCACGATGCACCGTGTGAGGACTAGAGAGGGCACGATGCACCGTGTGAGGACTAGAGAGGGCACGGTGCATCGTGTGAGGACTAGAGAGGGCACGGTGCATCGTGTGAGGACTAGAGAGGGCACGGTGCATCGTGTAAGGACTAGAGAGGGCACGGTGCATCGTGTGAGGACTAGAGAGGGCACGATGCATCGTGTGAGGACTAGAGAGGGCACGATGCATCGTGTAAGGACTAGAGAGGGCACGGTGCATCGTGTGAGGACTAGAGAGGGCACGGTGCATCGTGTAAGGACTTGCGTGATGCCTTGGGTTTAATCCTTCAGAAAATCAGAGTTGGTCAGTTATATCTCTGATCTTCTGGTTATGAAGAATATTTCACTGCGCGTTTGCTTTTTGCAACACGCAGTGATCCGCCACGCGTCTTTGGCCCGAGTTCCCCGGACACTCGAAGGAGGCGGATGCCGGGCAGGCTGCTCAGGGCTCTGCACCAGCTGCGTCTGGAAGGGGAGAGGCATTTGCTGGAGCAAATCTGAGATGCGGAGAAAGGTGAACGTGAACTTTGTCAATAAATTTGAAAAGCAAGACAGGTTTATCGAAGCGTTCATTCAAGAAGATTGGCATCCTGTTCCGAAGCCTGCGAAGATAATTTTTTATAGAAATTCAAATTTATTGTTGCATAGTCTGCCTCCTGCTGGAACTAAGCCAGACTTTAAAAGCCAGATCTATTCCTCCTCCTCCCTCCCTCTCTCCTTCTCTTTCTCTTTTTCTCTTTTACCCCTCACCCCCACGTTGGCAGCAGGGGTGGGGCAGGAAAGCACAAGAAAGAGAGGTGAAAAAAGAGGAGGTGTGTCCTAGACTGTAAGGCCGCAAATGGCAGAACCTGGTTGGTTTTAGTGCTGGGAGAGTCCAGTGAGCAGGCGCATGTAAAGCCCTTCCTTGGTGTTGAGCCCAGAGGAAGTGTCCATAACTGTTGACTTTCTCATTACCTCAGCACCTGGCCCTGGGCCTCACCAAGTCAGTGTTCCAGAAAGGCTTGTTGATCTCGACTGCCTATTTCTCTTCTTCCGGTCTGTTTTCATGCCTTTGTTCCATAAGTTCATAGGAAGATGGTAACCCTGAGGACGTTTGTTCTAATTAAATTTAAATGGCAAGCAGTATTCCTAGCCTGGTACGGCTCAGTTGGTTGGAGCATCGTCCACGCACTGGAAGTTTGCGAGTTTCCTTCCCAGTCAGAGGTCGGCACATTCCCAGATCACCAACTGGATCCTGTCCTGCAGGTGGCAACCAGGTTCTCTCTTACACTGCTGTTTCTCCCCCGCCCCCTCTCCCCCTCATCGAATCAGTAAAACATATACTCAGGCAAGGACTAAAAAAAATAATAATAAAAAGAATATTAAGTGGCAAGCATTGATAAGCATGTTTAAACAAAGATAATTCATTTCCCCCAAATGGGCTGAACTTTTATACAAACAAAATTCAGTGCCACATGCTTGATAGGCTACATCCCAGAGAGTTGAAAGTCGGGGTCATTCTAGTTACTACCAAGCATTTGTCTAGCGCCTCCTTGTGTTCGAGGCACTGCGGCCCAGGGGATATGGAGAGGGTTAGACACAGTCTGCCCTGCCCTCAAGGGCGTGAGACGCTTTTAGAAGAGAAGAAATAAATATTTTAAGCTAACAAAAATACCATGCCTAATGCCAAATATGTTCTAGAGTCATTTTAATTTAAATTCAGCATAAACCAAAATGAACATCACTCACTACCCAGTGTATGTACCTCATCCAATATTTAGTGAGTATACATTGTACCTTGAACACAAATTTTAGAAGAGTAAAATTAATATACCCTTTGCTTAAAAGATAACCCTTAAA